GGATATTCTTAGTGGTGATGATTACACAACAGTGTGAATAAACTAAATGTACTACAAGTACTGAATTATACTCTTAAAAATGATGAAATTGCCAATATTAGCTTATGTATATTTTATCACAATAAAAAAAATTAACCAACAATTAGGAGAGTTCTGTTCCATGGTCATAGTTATGAATAATGCACACATGCACTTCTCCATATTCATGTTTAAGTGATTAACTGAAATAGCAGAAGAATTAAATAGTCTTTAACAGGGTTTGGAAAAAGGTCATTTTTGAACTAGCAATACACAATTATATCATAATAAAAGCGACAGAATCACTGACAAATTTATATAAATGAAAGTTAAAAATTACAAAAATCTGTAACCCTTGTTTTTAGACTTTGTGTAACTTTGTCCTGACCCTTGTTCAAAATATGTCTGAATAACTCCTGAATTCTTTCTCCCACTGGACTCCTAAGGCTGTCACCACACATGCTGGCCAGTAGCACAGCTCAAGGGGAATCTAACCAGATCACAGCAAACACATCCTTCAGGTTTTGCTAAGGATGACAATTCCAACGTAAAAAAGAAAGTTACTGCGTTTGTTGGTGAGCAACAATGCAGACATCAGATGAAATTAAAGGCACAAACAGAAGTAGCAGGACTTTACCTTAGATGAGATTAAAGCTGAGAGAGAGGGAGGGGTCCAGGAGAAATCCCATTTTGGTGGTTTGACTCACTGGCTCGATGAAAGTAGCATCATATGTACGGGAAGAAAGAAGAATGTGGTTTTCATTTTGGATTTGTTGAGCTTGTGGTACCTTCTGGATAGCTACAAGAAAGCATTCAACAAGGCGCTGAACCTATGGTCTAAAGGTAGGGAAGAGGTCCAAGCTGGAGAGAAACAGGACTGTCAAATCACAGAGGGCCAAACAGGTCAAGGAGAACTGCAGTGTGTGAAGAATGGGGCCCAGGTTTGAACATCTGGATGAGCAACGCTCAGGAGCAGAAGAAAAAGACAGAAGAATTCGGGAATAAACCATCAGAGAAGCTAATGGCCGAGAATTTCCAGGCGATCGTGGACAGCGGCTTCAATAGGGCAGAAGGTTCAAGTAAGGCAAAAACTACAACATATTCATTGAACCTAACTATAATTTAGGTTATTGGTGAGCTTGAGAAGAAATGAATTAAGACCATGTTGAGTAGGTTAAGCTGCAAAAGAGCAGTGGAAACATTTGCCAGAAAGTATAACCTTGAACAGTCTGCTATACAACCTGCATACACAGACTAGCTGAGAGAAATGAGTTATTTAAAGGACCTGCAGTCATTTCAATCCTCCAGACATTCCACGTTTTATCCATGCATCAAGTAGGGTCTTCCAAAAGCTGTCTGGGACCACACTCTTTTAGCAACTCCAGAAAAACCTTATTAAGCAAGTTCTGCTTCAGCACTAGGTAAGTGTCACCATTGCAGAATGCATGAAGTGTTTATTTCCAGACTGGCAGTGAAACACTGTCCACTCCATCATCTATGTGACCAATTAAGCCACTGTTCAGACATCTGTGCATGCAAGTTCTCATGTCTCAAGGGAATGTAGCATGCTTTCTTCTAAGGGTCCATTCTGATCAAAGAACAGTTGTATGTGTGTTTTTGCCATTGCACTCACCTTGGACCACTCTAAGGTCATATTACCTGCCTATATCCACATGCCACCTTTATCTTTTTTATGTATATTGCCCTGAAGCTGAATCTTACTTAGTTTTACTTTTCCATTTTACTTTAAGGACCCTCATAAAGCTCATATAGTAAAATATAAAACAAGCTGAGGAAAAAAAACAACTCACCAGAGATGTATTCATTTCCTGCTGTTCTTAGAAACACACAGAGGACTCTGAAAATAGAGCTGCGAGAGAAGTGAATGGAGGGGCATCAATTTAAATTTTTAAAAATGCTTATTTAAATAATGGTTGTTGCTTTATTTAAACAATGGTTGTTGCTTTATTTAAACAATGGTTGATTCTCCGATTTAAACAGTGGCTGCTTCTCCGCATTTATTTCCCTGTGAAGTTCCCTACAACTGATGTGGGCTCTGCCATTTGACTTGCTTTGGTTAAAAGGACATAGGATACAAGCAGAAACTAACACAACACTGTAAAGCAATTATACTCCGAAAAAGATATTAAAAAAAAAAAAAAGGACATATGATGCAAACACAGATGAAAAGCACTTTTCCACTACAGCTTGCCTTCTGGGGCTAGCCTGTTAGGGACATGTGGTTTAGCGAACAGCCAGCACAAACCACCAAAAAAGTCAATGAAGTCATCTTAAGTCAAACAGCCTCAGTCAGGGCACCAGATGACTACAGCTTCATTTGTGAACCAGACAACACTAACATAGGAACTGACCAACTAAACCCAGCCCCAAAATGCTGAACCACAGACCTAGAGATTGTCACACTGAGTGAAGTAAGTCAGACAAAGACAGACATCATATGATATTGCTTATATGTAGAATCTTAAAAAAATGGTACAAATGAACCTATTTACAATACAGAAATAGAGTCCCAGATGTAGAAAACAACCTTATGGTTACCAAGGGGAAAAGGAGGGGGGTAGGAATTAATTGGGAGATTGGGATTGACATATACATACTACTATATATAAAAGAGATAACTAATAAGAACCTACTGACAGCACAGGGAACTCTACTCAATACTCTGTAATGACCTATATGGGAATAGAATCTAAAAAAGAGTGGATATATGTATAACTGATTCACTCTGCTATACAGCAGAAACTAACACAACATTGTAAATTAACTATGCGTCAATAAAATTTTAAAAAGTAAAAACAAAACAAAAATTTTTTAAAGCCCAAAATGCTAAACTTTGAGCAAATCTTTTTTTAATATATTTATTTATTTATTTTGGGCCCCCGTTTGGTCTTTGTTGCTGTGCGCGGGCTTTGTCTAGTTGCGGTGAGCAGGGGCTATGCTTCGTTGCAGTGCGTGGGCTTCTCACTGCGGTGACTTCTCTTTGTTGTGGAGCACGGGCTCTAGGCGCACGGGCTTCAGTAGTTGTGACATGTGGGCTCAGTAGTTGTGGCTCACAGGCTCTAGAGCGCAGGCTCAGTAGTTGTGGTGCACGGGCTTAGCTGCTCCATGGCATGTGGGATCTTCCTGGACCAGGGCTCAAATCCGTGTCCCCTGCACTGGCAGGCGGATTCTCAACCACTGTGCCAGCAGGGAAGCCCCCAATGTTTTTTTTATTATTTTTAATTTTTTAAGTCAGTAAATTTGGGTTGGTTCATTACTGAGCAAATGCTAAATGATATGTCTAAGTCCCAAAACTCAATGTTTTTAACAAAATTACCTGGGGAAAAAAGTCTTACATTACATGCTGAAAAACAACCAATAGAACTTCACAACACATGTAGAACTTCTGAAAGGAAAACAAATGTCACCTGGATGGACCTCAGTAAGGTTGTTGCACTAAGAGACCACATGAATTTTAAAAAGCAATTGTGTGCAGACCAGAAAACTATGTTTTAACTTTTTTACACCGTAACATGAGTCTGTTAACGTGAGTCTGGGGGCATATGCTGTGTTTTATTTACATTTTTAAAAAAATCAGTTTGGAGCCAATTAGAGTGAAGTGTGATTCACTCTAATTTTCCCATTTTAAACAGTGGAAAATAGGCTTCTGTTATTGTGCTGTGGAATTTATGATTATGAAGCACAGATTTCTGATGTTAAGTGGGAAACACTTGTATTATGAGTCCCTGGAGCTCACCTAGTCCACAGAAAGAATTAGGGAAAATAAGATAGGCATGTTTAAGTCAAGGTCTTCTAAAACTTATCTGTTCTTAAGTTGACTGCATTTATCAAAAACGGTGTCAAAAGTAAACGTGCTTGACTTAATGGTGGCAGAGTGGATATTACTACCCAAAGGTCAAGGTGCCTGATGCATACAAAACACCTCGCGAGCCTGGCACGTCACTCATGCCCTCAAATCCTTTTTCGTCTCCTCCACCCACACCCCGCTCACTCCCCAATCTTTCTCGTAAGGCAGACACACCCTGACAAACCCTTCCTGAGCTAACAGAAAGAACTGCTAGGAAGAGCAGGCATCAGCATACCTCCAGATACCAAACGTGATGGTATAATAGGCTTGAGAGAGCTCAGATGACAGAAACAGTGGGAGCAGAACGAAGGAATGGGAATATTTAGGGAGCACCATAGACAGATTCTCTCAGCTGTGACAAGTTATCCCTCCACCCCAGACCACACCCTCAGGACCTCTCCAATAAGTAACATTTCTTTTGGCCTCTGCCTACCCGCCTCAGCCTAGCTCAGGTCTCCTTCTCAAAGTCGATTCGGACCTTCCATTGCCACCCGGTCTTTGACAACTTCGGGAGGCAGCAGTGTCACCCACATCTCGTTCACTCTGCGCAGAAGCATCGATAACTGCTTGGCCACATGCGAAGCTAGAAGCTCCTCCTTTCTGTGATTCTTCTGCCTCTGCTCTGAAGCGCTAATAAGCGGGTCCAGGTTTCAGGGGTTGTCTTTCGTTCATAGGACGCCTCCCCTTCATGCTTCATAGTAACTACCTTGTTCCAAAGAAAAGGGGTCAGTCATTCAGAGCCCAACGATTCCCCCTGGCACTCACGGTCCCTAGAAACTAGGTCTTGTGAAAACTGTAAACGAAACCTGGTGCTCATCAGGCTACACGGCGCAGAAGGGGACCTGACACCTCACCTGCTGAAAAGACTCCGAGAGACCCCAGTAACAACTACCACACAGTAAGACTCCTCATGCACTTCACACTGATTTCTCCGGGAATCGGGGGCAACTCGCTAGTCCTTAAGGCCCTCGCATCACAGGTGAGCAAACCGAATGTCACAGAGGTTAATGACATCGCCCGGGAGGCTTGCTTCGGCGGCACAGCTGGACAGTGCACGCAGCCCGCAGCCCACCCACGCTCGCTCGCGCGGTCTGCAGACCCGCCCCGGCCTCACAGTCACCTTGGACTCCATCCCCAGGTCGCGAAGCCTCCGGAGGCGGGCGCCCGGTTGTCCGCAGTGCAACGTCTTCTGACCAAGCAACACTCGAAGCACGGCCCGAGCCGGCCCTTTCCAGCCCTGGACCAGCGGGTCCTAAGGCCACAATCGCCTCCCGGCCCCTGCCCAGGCCGCGGCTCGCACCTGCGCCTCAGGCCGCGCCGCTCACACCCGCCGACCTTTACGCTCCCACCGAGTGGCCCAGCATCCCCGCCCCGCCCTGCGTCCCCGCGCCGCGGCCGCCTTCCACCCTTGCACCCACCTTCAGGGACCCAGAATCCCAGGCAGCCCGCAGGAGCAGCTGCCGTAGCGCTGGGCT